AGGGAATAAAAAGGACACCGAACAGGTATACTAGATTAAACTATACTAATAACTAACAAAACAGATTTCACCACGTTCCTTAGAATAGTAGGATCGGCAGTCACAGCCAGTACTCTCCAAATTTCCACGTGGTAGGACAGCGGATTCTGCAGGCCTCAGCCTTAGATAAGCGAGACTAACGCAGGGACCCACTGTTCCCAGACCTCGCCGGAAGAGAAGAGAGCGAGGTCTCTAATCTCCGACTTATTTATACTCTGGTTTACGTAAAAATTGTATGGAATACAATTGGCTGTACCTGGCTACTTCCTTGGTTACAAACTGGTCACCAGGAAGGCCTAGACTAAAACCATCACAGCTGGCTTGCTTTTTCAAGCTGAAGATTGGCTGTTCAGACCCCTTGACATTAGCATTTCCCACATACAGTGATTATGAACACTGTGTTTTCCTGTATTTTAATTATTTCTGTACACTCTTGTGCCAAGTTGGGCTTTTGAGTCACTATAAAAATTTATAATGAGGCTTCCATTATTCTTTTATGCATAGCAAACTGGAGTTGGCAGATGTTAGCATCTGTCTTCCAGAGTACTTAAAGTCTTCTACAAAATAAATATTTATAATCAGTAGCCGTTTAGGAAACCATATGCCAAGCGTGAAATAACACATAACATTTTTAAACTTTTATATCTTTTCAGGATTAGTACCTTACTCTCCATTATCTTTCATATGCTGCTGGTACTTTTTTATGAACTATATCTGGCTCATATACAGCCCCAGGCTTTCAGAGGTGTTAGCATTATCTACTTTTTTCTCAATGCTCCTGTTATATTTTTGATCTTTGTTTTTGACTGAGTCATTCTTTTGCTTGTTTTGTTTAAATATGGTTTGAGTATGCAACATCTAGAAAATGTGAATCCCAGGTTTCTTTAATACTGATGAATTCAGTCTGGCGGTCAGTAGCAGCCACAATTTCAGCATCAACTATTTTATTTATTAAAAAATGTACCTGTGCATTGCAAAGTAATGAAATTCACCCCCTGTACAGAGGGAAGGTAAAACAACTGCATTTCTTAGATCAGCCCACCACTTGTATTTATTAAGCATCAGTGGTCTTGTAGTGCTAAGGAACCTGCTAAAGTAAGATGTAATGAAAAGTTTGAGTACATTTTTTATGAAGACAGGAGACCATATTGAAAACTTACAATGGGAAATGTGAAATGTGAAAAATAGCAGAATATTCTTTGGAGAGGATATATCTACTCTCAGTTTCTAGTGCAGTGTTTGTATTGTAATCTTAAAAATAGGAGGGAATTTCAATAGGGACCAGGGAAGTAGTTTACCTCTTTCTTGCAAAGGAGTTTGGGAGAGTCTAGGCTCAGAAATTAACTGGTTGGACACTGAGTTTTTTTAATTGTTGTTGTTGTTATCGTTATTATTAAGCTTGTTGATTTAGGCTGCCTGGAGAAGTGAAGTCTCCTCTACTGTAATGCTATCTACAGTTCAGCATTCAAATATCAGTTTTGAATATGTAGGGTTGTGAGAAAAGTTTGAACTTTTTTCCTTAAAACATGTTTGACATTTTCTGAGACATGCTAGATTGCCTCCTGTTGTTACAAGAAGAGGAAAGAAAGGATTATTCTGTTACTATGACACATTTTTTCTAAACTGTTCTTTAATAGAAAATAGACATACACATTGCTGGTGGAACATTGCTTCCTTGAAACATAATAAACAAATGCTCCATTTAATACTGTTGACTTTGTTCTCATAGATCAGAATTATAATAAAACAGACATAATTATGTGATGTAGAATGACCTCCACATAACTTGTAAAATTTGCTACAGTGTAGTGAGCTCACTGACCCAAAATAGATCCACCCTTTTTCGAGTGGATCCTGATGCCCTCTTGTGCTTTTCCACCCTCACTCTTCAGGGCTTTGTTCTTACTGATGGTGTGACAGGAAGAAAGGAGGCATAGTTACTTCTTTGCCTAATTACTCCTCTGCTGTAGTTTCATATGTTGTCTGGGTAGCTGAAGTAAGGGAGTAAGTAGAAGTCTTCACCTTGGCTAGGCTGGTATAAACCAGTGCTGAATGGAGGGCAGCAAAGTGGCTGAAGATGAGCACTTCTGCATATGCACTCAGGCAAGTTCTGTGTAGATCTACTTTGTGCCAGGTTCAAAATGAATTAATTAGAAGACTGATCTGCTGCTGTAAGATTCAAGTAATTTTTAACTCACAGTTTTGCTGATTGGCCTTTTAAGCCTCATCAGGTCTCAATTTGTTGCCTTGCAAGAAAAGATAGTATGTATAAACGAGGTAGAGTTCAAATAGAAAGGGTCATACAGTGTTGTAAAGCCAACAATTGCTTTCCCAGTGAGCTTTCCAATCTGGGTTGCTCTGCAAGTGCATCTAGAAAACTTAAGCCTGTTTCCCCATGAGTTGCATCTCTTGTCAGAGATGTGAATATGTGCATGCTGAAAAACAAATACCATATATTTCCTCAGAATTTTTTTCCTGTATCTTGCCTCTTTCTCCATGTGCTGAAATATAATATTTGTCCATCTGTTTTAGCAGCCCATCCTCCAGTGCTGTGTCAGGTGCATAACCTGCAGACCATCCCTTGCTCTTTGTTTGGCAGAGGGGGGTCTGCATCACTGACATGACGGTAGTTATTAACACTATATTAAAATGGATAATTTGGTCTTATTTCTGGACTGTATATAATTTAATCCAGTTTAAATTGTTTATCTTGCCCCATTTGAGATTATTCTTGTGGCTGTGCTATGAAAGCCAACAAATAACTATAATGTCTGCTCGGTAACCAAATTATTGGCTAGTTTTTCAGCTTGTCAGCGCTATTCCACTTACAATAACCTTATACAGTTGGTGCTTTTCCTGGACCTCATGGAAAACAAAACAACCACATAATGCTACTTTTCTCGTGGTTGCCTCCAGGTAGAATTGCCAGCAAGTTCAGTCCCAGTAATATAGGATGAATATTCTTGTAGGCTGACACCTTTGCAAACCGGGATTCCTCTTGCAAACTTGTGTAGCTTCTTGTGGAGGACCGCTTAAAGGAGAAAAGTGTTTTAGCTAAAGAAATGAAGGACAAGAAAAACAGATCCAGATAAAAGAATAAGAAATTCTTATCTCTTTTTCTGTGCCCCTAAATCTAGGGGTGTCTTCTCAGTAAGACCAGTGTGTCCAGAAATGTTTTACTAAACTAGAGAAAGAATAGAGGGAAGGGAAGAAGGAGGGGAGTGAAATGCTTTTGACATGACTCTGTTTACACTTCAGCCTCTATTTTCCATTGTTCCTTGAATGTGATCCTGCTTGGACAGATTTCTGAAATACACTCTCAATACTTATTCAAAGTCCTTACAAATGTTCTAACAAAATTCCTTCTGGAGCAGCCTCCCTACCTTTATTTTCCTCTGCTGGGAAATTTATTCCATGGAGACCTCTCTCCCTAGCTTGCAAGGAAGAGGTCATTCAAGCACACTGGGCTGGACTCTGGCTCTTTAGAAAATCAATACAAAATCTTGCTTCATTTAACACAAATCTATTAGGTTGATGTAAGCTGGAGGACGGAGACAAGGAGAGGAGAGATTCAGCACGATAGCTTTCTTCCAGTACTTATCAATTCCTTTCACGTGTCCGTCTCTGAGTTGTCTGTCTCTGAGGCTAGCAGAGTTGATAAGCTGTAGTTTGTGATTTAATGAGTTTACAGATTGTTTTAGATAATGACTCACTGTACAATACATCAGAAAAGAAGCATCAGCATTTATTTTTCTTTGCTGCTTTACAGCATTTCACTGTTAGGAATATCTTTTTTCAGGTAGCTGGCTCACAAATAGATATGCTTGTGTGCTGTACATACCAGAACTTTTCAAAAGTGCTGTGAATATTTACCCTCTTGTCCCTGAGGACCTGCTGCTTTCACAGAGGTGGGGGAATTAATTTGCTGACAAGTGTAACTTATTAAGAAACATCTGATAGATGATAATATCCAACCTGGTGTGTTAGTTCAGAGCATAGGGAGTGGACACAGAATCAGAATTAATTAGAAACTCCAGGATGAGAAGATTTCTAATTCTAGGGCAAAATGCATCAAATGGAACACTTTGGTTAATTGCAATTTGTCTTACATTGGTTTTTGTCCAAAATAAAAAACAATTTCAGTTGAATGTTTGTGACAGCAAACAGGGGAAGAAAATTCTTAAACACAAGTAAAAAGAAATAAGAATAAAATGCTGAAGAGCAGGATAAGATGCTTTGTAAAATTTACATCTGTAATAAACAGAAAAATAAATGAGAGTTAAACTTTTCTGTGATTTTGTTTTAGACTCTTCTGTACTGGTGGAACTAAAGACCAATTTACAAACACTCTTCAGAGTAAAGTTTTGGTCTGCTCAGCACCAAGGATTTTCTCTCACTGTAGATAATTTACCACTTCTCTGAGTTTCAAAGGGGCAATCTAATGAAGCAGGCAGACTGTTTTCTAAACACATAACTGAATGATCTTGAATTATTTTAGGTAATGATAATATATGGCTTATTTCAGGTTTTGTTCAAGGCTTAAAACTTTGGCCTATTCTTGTTTGTAAAATGTTAGGACTGCTGAGGCACTGGTGATCACTGTTATATGAGGAACTCATTTTGTAGTCAAGGGCAACTAATGAACACGTTTGAACAGATGAAGTGCTTAGTGAGCTTTAAAATCAAACAGTGGTTTCCAGAAAGGACTCTTACACATTCTCAATGCTCAGTGAAACTTCACTGAGTTATATGTTCTCTGAGTTCTACTAAATGCGGATGTTTAATTTACTCATTCATACGAAACTAATCTCTTTTTATTGAATGGAATCTGTGTATGTTGGAAACACATTTACATAGAGTTTGGTTATTATTTAATTAATTTATACTTTATTTATTTATATTAAATTGACTTATAATTATTTAATTACCTGTTTATATGAAAAGTATTTTTCTATTTGCAGAGGTCTTTTTATTTCTATCCATGACCGGGGCCACATTGCTACAATGCTTAAATCCTGGCCAGAAAGTGTCATCAAGGTAGGTGCAGTTTTAGTTGCATGACAAAGCTGATGCTGCTTTGTAGCCAAGATACTTGGTTAGGGTGATTTTTAAGCTTTTTATCAATTTAGGTTTCAGTGATTTCTTAACTCATTTTTTTAAACAGAAAGAATGCTGTTATAGCCAAAGTTTGAGGCAGTTAAACCCTTACTTATTTAGCTACAGGCATCCTAAACTTATGAACTGGTCAATTACACTTAATATTATGCATGAAAAAAAACCAGCAACCTGAATGCTTTTTCTGCATTTTAGAGAACCACAGAGTGGTTGAGGTAGGAAGGCACCTCTGGAGATCATATAGACCATCCTCCTGCTCAAGCAAGGTCAGCCAGGATAGGGCTATGTCCAATCTTTGGGGTTTTGAGTATCTCTCCAAGAGTGAAGACTCTACAAGATCTCTTGGCAAACTGTTCTAGTGTTTGAGTTAATAATTCTCCATTTATGATGCCTGATGAGCTCTCTCACAAGAAATAATAAATTTCCAACTAAAACGCCTTGTCACGGAGTATGACAAGGAGATTTTTGTGTTTTCAGCTGCTTGCTGTACTGAGCACTTCTGTCCTTTACTATGATAAATCCTTCTGTATAGCACAGACAGTTTTTTGGGGTTTACTACGTTATTGTATTTTTGTCAAAGAAAATACTTGCTTCCTCATATGCATATGTTTGATGGAGTTATGTTATTTGTTCAAGGGAAGAAATACATCTTCGAAAGGTAAGAGCCAGGTGATTGTAGACATCGCTGTCAAAGGCCGGGAGGAGTGGCTGGCTCTGGTTCTTCTGAGAACAGACATGACAAAACCCAGGAGTCTGGAGTTCTTCTTTTTTAGTGGATAACTTCCTTTCCCTTCCTATTCTGTTTTCATACTGTTGACAGAAAAATGGAAGAGGGAACAATTCCAGTTCCCTTGTAATGTAATACTAAGTAGCTCTTTTGTGTATTCTTAACAGTTTTATATGAAAGTCCCATTTACAGTGAAGCAAGGGTTTAAAATAGTGTAACAAAACCACAGTAAAATACAATAAAACAATTCTGTGCCTTGTCTGTAGTATTGATTTGTTTGTACCTGCTAGAATTTCTGAATGAAAATTAAAAAATGATGGTAAGAAAATAAAGGAATACTTAGTGCATACAATCAAAGAAGTGGCTTTTACAGTGTTTTTATTTCTTCCTCCAGGCTATTGTGGTGACTGATGGAGAACGTATTCTTGGTCTTGGAGACCTCGGCTGTTATGGAATGGGCATTCCTGTTGGTAAACTGGCACTTTATACGGCATGTGGAGGAGTAAAACCCCATGAGTGTCTACCAGTGATGTTGGATGTGGGAACAGATAATGAGGTAAATCCTTTTCTGAAGTGTAGTAAATATTAAGTGTGCATGTCTGTGTGCTTCGGTTTTAAATTCGTTATAGTTATAAAAAGCATTGTAATGCTATAAATTTTCCCCAGAAGAGGTCTTAGTGCTTCAAGTGTGTGGACCTTACCCTCTTTACCTTGGCCTCCCATTTGTGTGAAATGCAGATATTTAAAGTTGTTGAAAATTGGCTCTTTGCTTTCCAGTGCTTCTGGGATTACTAGTTAATTACTTGGCTGCTGTCCTTCCTTCTTTTTTTTTTTTTGTCTGAAAAACTTGAAGACTACAAATATTGACAAATTAAAAAAAAAATCTGCAGTATCATTATGCTTTTGTAGAAGTAAACACATGTTCTCCTATAAATAATGCAAGTGTTACACGTTATGTGTGATAAATGTATCAAAGGTTTATTTGTATTATAGCTAAATAAAATATTCCTGTACTAGTAAATTTAGCTGGGGCTTCTAGATTGTTGGATTGGGTGTGTGCATCTTCAGCTTTATACACACACATCCACCCCTACCCCACTGGGATAATTTAGACAATACATCATTAAAGCATTACTGAACCAGAAATGCCTGCTACCCTTTCTCCCTGTCCCCCCAGAAACTCCCTCTAAAAGCAGACAGAGTTACTTGTGAGATGTATCTGAACACTGTAGCATGTAGCCATATCAAATCATATACGTAAGTCTCATTTGCTATAAAATGGTTTTATTCCTGTTTTGAGCAGCTGGGCCAGTTATGTAATCTATCATTTGATGTTTCTAGGCAGTTAATTGCATCAGCTACTTCTTATACTTCAGTAGGCTTTGCATTTGGCTTTTATGATTGTGTTTCATTGTACTTTTTAATTTTTCATACAATATTATTTTCTTGAAATTTGTTGTCAAACATCTTTAAATACACAGACCAATAGCAAAACGGGCTTACCCACACTAGTAGCCTCACTTTTATGTCACTGTTCTTGTGACTAAACAATGAGGTCAGTGTGTATGAGAGAGTGGCACCCATAAAGTATTACAAGGTGCATAAAATTTGCGTGAGGTAGAGTTTGTTGATGTTCTGGAATATTCCCATTCTGATCAGGAGATTACCTTTTGTGTTTTTCAATTTGGAATATGGCTTCTTGTCTTAGGACCATAGGGAATGAGCTCTGCTCATTCAATGTAGTCTGCTCTTGGGTTATGAACAGGTGGGACTTCGTTACTGTACCCCTTGACTGATGAGACTACATGGGCTTGATAATATTCATTAATGGAAGCTTGGATGTAGTTCCCAGGCTACTTTAGTCAAAGTCAGGAAACCTGGGGCACCAAGTCCCTTAATTTCTTCCAAACCCCTTCCTCTCACCCAGTAGCACATCCCTGTTCCCTCCTTAACACTTGTGTTCATGTAACCTGGTGGTGAGTCACTGCAGAAAACTGAAATGACTGAAAAGTCTTCACATTTTGCTAGCTAAGCTAATTATATAAGGTCAAGCTGCTGTGGAATTGCACTACAATTCCTTATCTTAAAATCTAAACTTCTTGGATAAATAACTGTATTTTCATGCTATATTTTCTTAGTCTAGCCAGTATTTTCCATAATAAAACACAGTAGAAATCACTCTCACAACTTGAGCGCATATAAATAATAATTATGCTGAACATATTTTTTGAAATGTGCAGATGTTTTCCATTTAGATTAGTTCCTTCTCCACTCTGCGGGGGCCTCACTGCTTTAAAAGAAGTTTTAAAATATGTACTTTTGGCAACTATAATGTGGAGGTGCACAACCTGCAAATTCTCCAGAAAGATTAAGTCTTACGCTAAAGCAGATTGCAAAAAACTGTAAGATTTTACAAGTTCTCATCCTGGATTACTTCTTTGTATACAGGACTCAAAACAGTAACTTTGAGGAGCAATTCACTCAATTTTAGATGATTATTAAAATCCTTGTTGCTGTTAATTTTCAGCTGAGGTATTTTTGGCTGGGGTATTGTCCTGCTACTCATAAAACCAAAGAAAGAAAACAAAAGGAAATAAAGCATTTTTATACATTTGTGTAGATAATAGGCAAGAGAAATGGAAAGTGCTTATTTATGGGTAAAAATTGACCTAATAGAAAGTCTCGTGTCACCAAATTAGTAAAGTGCTCCATGTAATCTATGTAGGACTGAGTGTCCAAAAGAAGAAGTGTTGACTGCTGCTAAAAATAATATGCCTGTTTTGGAAATTATTGAAAAATTGGAGGCAAGTAATTATTGAGGGACATTTTTTCCAAAGCATTTAAAATGTTATTTGAATTACTGTTAGTTACTTACTACAAACTGTGATAATCTCACTAAAGGTTGTGCCTTACCCAGTAGCCACATGTTTTTTAGATGTGAGGGTGGTGCTTCTTTAGGTGGGATTTCAATCCAATTAAAATATACTCAGGCACCAGTCTCATTGCTGATAGGAAATTGTTGTTGGAAATCCTGAGGTGATGTGATCTCGGAATCCGGAGTGTTCGTCTAATGTTGTAGAGCTATGTGTTAAATCACCTTGAAATGGTTAAAGAAACAGACTGTAGAAGAAAAAGGAATAGTTGCCAAGGTACAAACAGCTGTAACTTAATGGAAACCTACCCAAAACACATGTTCTCAGCACTGGAAATGGGATGGTTTAAGAACGATGAAAATAATCAAGGTGGATCAAGGGGAAGCATTTAAACATTAAAATGTGAGTGATGATTGTTTTCTACTTAAAAGATTCTATTAAACTCTTACAAAACAATGTTGAGGCAAGCCTGTAGATTAAAAGTCAGCCTGGCTTACAGGGATGTGAAAACTGGCAGTTTAATAAAACCAAATAAACAGCAAAACCTAATAATAGAAACCAAGTTCAGAAACTGTGTTTATAGGCAGTAAAAAAGCAAAAGACACTGAAGAAAAGCAACCTAGTGAAAATAGTTATGAATAATAAGAATGAGATTTTTTGTTGTTCCTGATGTTTTTCCTTAATGGTGGTACATGTGGAAGTATCCGAATGTCACTATAAATGTAGTAGTAGATAATTTTTAAATGTCAGTTTTATCTGTCTTGGCAAGAAGTCTTATTTTCCATTGTATTAACAGCAAATGAATATGTTGAACAAAAGCTTTTAAAGTTTGTCAAGATCCTTAAATCAGAATGTCCAAATAAGGCTTTGGCCAGTTCTTTTTTTAAAAACTCTGGTAAAAGCTTTTTGTACCATGCTGAGTTGGGTGGGGAGGAAAAACTAGCTCAGGCAGATTGGATTAAAAGTAAGGCTCTTATTTAAAATACAGTGTTCCTGGTCTGATGTGAGCTTACAGATTTTGGATTGACACTTATTTTTTACCTTTATAAGACATTTTGAATTCATAGTGTTTCTTTTAACTAGACCAATGGAAAAAAAAAAAAAACAAGCCTCCTATGTTACTGGAGAAAATGCAATTTAAAATCTATATTTCTGTGAGGAATAATAAAATACTTGTGGGTTTATGGTATCTCAGGGTTGTTTTTTTTTCAGCTCTGCTATGCTTAATATCTTTATCAATTTCTGTTGTTTAAGGGTCACAAAAGAGACATGGTTTAGTTAAAGTACTATTATCCAGCCAGAGCAGGAATGAAATCTAGGAAGATTGATGACTTGTGTTATATAGAAGTCAAACCAGTGGTGCAAGAGTTTCTTCTGACCATAAAAATCTTAATCTAATACTGGATTGCTTAGCAGAGGAATGAAAACTGTGTTTATTTGGTATCTTAGAAGAGAAGCTCTGACAAGTTCATGGCTGCCATAGCAGTTCTAAACTTAATGTGTAAATTCAACACTGGCAATGACCAGTTGTGGAAGCTTTGGAAAGATTGTGTGTTAGCATTTTAACGTAAACCATTTACAATGAATTTCAGTCTAACTGGAAAGCGTTCAACTCTTTTAGACAGTACCTTCACACAGTGTTAAAAGGCCAAGACAACTCTTATTGAAAGGACTTCTTACTCTAGGCAGTTTTTAGCAGAAGGCATCTTGGTGTTCTGAGCACCAGGACAGTGCCACACGCTGGCCATCAGGACCAGAAGTCACTCCAGACGCAGCTGTGGTGGATGCAAGGAAACTGGGCACACAAACATTCTCTTGCCCTGTGTAGACATAGTTAAGTAGCTGACTGGTCACATATATATGCCCTTAATGTAGTGATGAGTCGTGATGGTCAGTTCGCTTTTTTAAAATGTATCTCTGTACTGGTTTCTATTTGTGTAACTATTGGTCTCTCCTCCCCAGTAAGAAGTAGCGAGAGATAGGAGGAGAGAAAATTACCTCAGCTTGTGCCAGGGGAGCTTTCGATTGGATATTAGGAAACAGTTTCTTCACAGAAAGGGTTGCCAAGCATTGATACAGGCTGCTCAGGGAGGTGGTTGAGTCACCATTCCTGAAGGTATTTAAGAGTTATGTAGTTGTGGTGCATAGGGACATAATTTAGTGGTGGACTTGGCTGTGCTGGGTTAATTTGGACTTAATGATCTTAAAAGGTCTTTTCCAACCTAAGCAACTCTATGGTTCTAAGTACTGAAAAGTGCACAAGAGAAAGAAATATGCAGGGCAGCTCCTAGGGCAGCTGCTCCTCCATCTGTGACACTTCAGGGATTTGTGGGCTGCTATTTCAAGTTGTTTCCTGCATGCTTGCCTTAGAATATTTTTTCCCTTAACCTACTAAAATATTGAAACACAGAAATATGATGGTTCTCACAGTTGCCCTAAATAGGTCAATGACTGTGACTGACTGGCAATTCTGATTCCTCTGTAAGGAATGGCAGGCTTCCGTGGTGGAATATGGAATCCAGAAGAGCTGAGGTGCAAATTCAGGCTCAGTTCTTCAGCTTGTTCTAGTTAGCTTTCTGCATTTCACCAGAATATTTCCAATTGTCATAAGAACTGGTACCAGCTTTCTAAGATTCATATTCTTGAAGAATACCCACCTATGAATGCACAAATGAAATCTGTT